CGTGCTCGTTGATACAGGGTTTACACTCAACGTGATGCCCAAGAGGACTTTAGCCAAGTTGGCCTACCAAGGAGCTGAAATGAGGCCTACCTCTCTGATCGTGAAAGCTTTTGATGGGTCAAGAAGAACTATGATAGGAGAAGTCGACTTGCCAATCATGGTAGGCCCTCAGATCTTCGAAATTACTTTTCAAGTGATGGATATCAATCCGGCCTACAGTTGTCTACTGGGAAGACCATGGATACATACAGCAGGCACTGTCACATCCACTCTACACCAAAAAATGAAGTTCGTCGTTAACGACCAGCTGGTAATAATTCATGGAGAAGAGGATCTGATGGTGACCAACCTATCCTCCTTCAGAAAAATAGAAGCTGATGAAGATGCGCTTGAAACTGCTTTCCAGGCCTTGGAAATTGCCCACGTTGTATTGGTTGATGAGTCAGCAATAACCCGTGGTCCATCTTTTTCTTCCCTTCAGAGTATAAAGGCTGCAATGAAGATATGACTCCCATTGGGATGGGGGGAGGTCATAGAAGTCAACGCTCGTGAAAAAAACGACAGACAAGGGTTGGGTTACAAACTAACTCTAGAAGATGCACCTGAAGAAAGCGTCATTAAGAAGAAGTCCTTGGAGGAGATATTCACAAGCGGCGAAATGCAAGTGAATGTTGTCATAGCTGAAGATGAAGAAAGCGACCTTGACAACCTGGTGATCCGAGGCAGAGCAGCTTTGCGCAACTAGGAAACTGTGGAAATCTCTGTCTTTTTACCTTTAGAGTAATACATTTGCTTGTTAGCTTTGTTCTTGCCCAAGGCCAGTGAATCATTTCGTATAGGCCGCTTTGCAATTTGAAAAGATCTATGAGTAGAAAAGTGTTTTTGTTAAAACTCTTGTTTTGTTTCTTTTTATCATTTTCACTTTTTGTTAAAAGGAAAAATGGCAACTTTTAAAAAAAAATAAAAAACTTAAAAACAACCCTTCATCTACATGTCTATGTGTGTGTGTGTGTGTGTGTCTGATCATTCTAAAACCTGTAAAACCATGCAGAACACCTCCATCACCCACATAATCAATTGATCATTAGGTTCCTTCTGGTAGTGGTTCATTTGTCTTTCAAGCTGAAGAAGAAAGCGATGAAGATTCTGAGGTTCCTGAAGAATTGAGGAGGATGACCGAATACGAAGATGCCTATCTTCAGCCATACAAAGAACAGATCGACATCGTCATCTCGGGCTCTGAAGAAGAAAAGAGAGAAGTCAAGATTGGATCATCATTAGGGTCAGATGTCAAGAGCAGGCTAATAGCACTCCTCAAAGATTACATCGATGTATTCGCTTGGTCTTATCAAGACATGCCAGGATTGGGCACCAACATTGTTGTGCACAAGCTCCCTTTGAAGCCAGATTGTCCTCCAGTCAAGCAAAAGCTTAGAAGATCTAGACCCGACATGGCTCTCAAAATTAGAGACGAAGTCAAGAAGCAAATTGATGCAGGCTTTTTAGCAGTATCAAAATATCCAGAATGGGTGGCCAACATTGTGCCTGACCCAAAGAAGGATGGCAAAGTCAGAATGCGCGTAGACTACAGGGATCTAAACAAATCTAGTCCGAAGGACGATTTCCCTCTCCCAGATATTGAAACTCTGGTGGACAACACAACCAGTTTTGCAGTATTCTCATTCATGGATGGATTTTCCGGCTACAATCAAATAAAGATGGATCCGACCGACATGGAAAAAACAACCTTCATTACACCTTGGGGCACTTATTGTTATAAGGTCATGCCTTTTGATTTGAAGAACGCAGGAGCAATGTATCAACGAGCCATGGTCGCACTCTTCCATGATATGATGCATCAGGAAATTGAAGTGTATGTAGATGATATGATTGCAAAATCTCGAAATGAAGAGGACCACCCAATATGATGCACATTTGGGGTTCATTCAGTCAAACTACTCGGTTTCATTGTTAGTCAACGAGGAATTGAAGTAGGTCCCGATAAAGTCAGAGCAATTTAAGAAATGCCCTCTCCTAATATAGAAAAACAAGTCAGAGGCTTCCTTGGACGACTAAATTACATCTCTAGGTTCATTTCTAATTTGATGCCTACCTGTACACCGATCTTTAAGTTGTTACGAAAAGATCAAGCGGTGGTATGTGTTACACCCTAATTTTTGATCTTGCATCATTGGACCATACATATCATAACATTTCACCATTTGTGCATCATATCTATTATGCACAGTATCTAACCATCATGCCTCTGGAATGCACGTCTTTTCGCTTTTCGTTAAGCTCAGGTCATGCAAGTTTGAATTAAGGATCATGCAAAGTTATCAATACAAGTTATCAGGTTGTGGCAAAGGCAGTTTGTTTGAAGGTGGATAATCATCAGGGCCAGGACATTTCAAGATATATGATCAGGACCTGATGTCTTTTCTCATGGAATTGATTCAAGATTTCAAATACCTTCTAGGTATTGAGTTTATTGAAAAGTTCAAGATGCTGAAATTTTGGTCTTGAGATTGTTTTTGTTGGTTCAAGTAGAAAGTTTGTCACTTAAACAAGATTTCAAATATCATAATCAAATTCCAAGATTCAATTTCATTCCAAGTCAGAATCCTGTTCAAAATTCCCATTCGTTTCAAATTTCAAGTTCCATTCAAATTTTCACGTTCACAATCCAACTTCAAGAGTTAATCAAGATTTCAAGCGGCATTTCAAGATCTAATTTATGACTTAAAGCTTCAGATTCCAAATTCCATGCTTATTCTAAGTTTCAATTCAATGACATTTAATTTCGTGTGGTAAATTTCCTTCAAGATCCCTTTCCAATTCAAAACAATTTAAATTTCATGTTTTCTTTCCTTTCAGGTTAGATTTATGTTCAAGTTTCAAGTCCATAATTTCAATCCAAAGTCCGAGTCTCGATCTCATCTTAATTATAGTCCGATTTCAATTTCATGTTCCATGTCGTTCAATATTTCTGTTTAGGTTCAAAATCATCCAGGCCTCCCATTCCAAGTTCATTTTGGAATTTCAAGTCATGACCATTTCTCAAATCTAATCTAAGATTCAAGTTATGTTGTTATTTTCATTTCAATTTCATCCAATTTAATTTTATTTCCAATAAAATTTCAAAGTTTCATTACTTTTGCAATTTTATTCAAATTCAGGTTCCCAAATCCAATCCAATTTAATTCAAATTTCAATTCATTAGTTTCATTCAAGCCCATTTCAATTCAAGAAAATTCAAGTTCATTTTTTTTTTCAATTTCAAGTCTAACACAAGTTTCAAATTTTATCTCAAGATACCATTCGTTCCAAGTTCAAATTTTAATCAAATTCTTTACCATCTTTACCCATGTCCAATTTCCAAATTCGTACAAGTTTCAAATTCATGTCAAGTGTCTAATTCACTCCCATTATATGTTCATTTCAAGTGTATAAATCAAGTTCATCTCTATGACAAATTCCAAATTTCATTAAGATTTTGATATCTTCAAGGCCCATTATTGATAATCCAATACATTGCACGAAAATTTCCAAAATAACATGAACAATATTCTAACCATTTAATTTCTTCTCCAAGCTTCATGATTACGTCTAGTCAAGCCACAATGTAAGATTTGCAGAACAAATCAAAAACAAACAAAACCATAACCTTACAAAATTATTTACATACATAATGAAACTTAGCAAGGATTGCAAGTGGCTGAAGATGTTTTAAATTACCTATGACCCCACAAGAACCTCTTCTCAAAATGTGTCCACAATCCCTGCTACACAAAACTCACAATAGCCCACACACTCAAGTCGTCCACCATAAACTTGTACAATCCACCTCCAGACCAGTTCGTACGATTTGCGGCCCCAGTAAACGACGCTCCAAAGCTGTAAACCAATACGAAAAAACCTGTGTGGTTGTACAAAAACTTGTGCCAAATTAACCTCACGCGACCAATGAGCAAAACCAATACATAACCTGTCAAAAGAAGAAACGTACGCATCAGTAACGAAAACAACAGAGAAAAATTAGTAGAATTTGCAAATGAGATGGAAGAGGAAAATCAAGGAGATCACAGTGAAAAAGACACGCTCCAAAACACGACACGAAAATGAGCGTACCACCTACAGAAGAAAACCTTCAGCCACTCCCAAAACAAAAAAAAAAAATAGAGTTACTACTCTAACGTGTATCTGCTAACAACAACACGTCTTTCACACAAGTGTAGCTGCTACCACGCGTAGACAACGACAAAAGCAAATGTACGACCTCCCACCTGCAGCTCGTACGACTCTGCAAAACTGCTAACAGCTACCGTAACGAAAAACAAGGAAGAAAGAAGAGAAAAATTGGGGCGGATACTCACTTTTTGGGTTTTTTCACTGTTCTGCCCCATATTGAAATTATAAATCCCATAATGCCCCACATTGAAAAATATTTACCAGGGTGCCCCATATTTTAAGAAGTTCGCCCAATCAATGGGCGAGCTAGTGAAGGAAGAAAAATGGGGGTGCATGTTCGTCCTTTCATTGGGCGAGCGTGTGGTTTCTTAAATGGGCCTCATGAGCTCGTCCATTGATTGGACGAGCGTGTGTTGGTTTTTCGTTTTTTAATTTTTTTTATTTTAATTATTTAAATAGTTAATAATAAATACTAATTAGTTTTTTTAATTTTAATTTTTTAAATTTAAATACTAATTAATTTTTTTTATTGTAATGTTAATATTTTTTTAAATTTAAATAGTTAATAATAAATACTAATTAATTTTATAATTACAATTTTATGATCCTTAATTCAAACTTGCATGACATGAGCTTAAATAGTTAGTGTTAATAATTTTAAAAATTTAAGATTAAATTTTTAAAAATGTTAATTATAAAATACTAATTAATAATAATTACATTATAAAACTAGATTATAAGAAATGTAAATAATTTTAACTATTTAAGATTTAATTACAACAATAAAATTTATTAAACAAGAATACATTTTATCGGAGATGACCCCCAGTTCCACACCTAGTGCTCCTTCGCTCTCTATATCCCCTGCCCAAACGCTCATTTCTAGGTGATTGAGATGAGTCGGAAGACATGTCTTCGTTGTGATGTGCTGTAGGGGGGTTTGCCTGTCGTGAAAAGGGTCCTGGTTGCTCATCAAGAAGATCATCAATGTTAAAATCTGGCATGTGCATCAGTTGCTCGTCAGTAAGCAAAACTTTTTGGAATGAGTGTGGTGGTGGCGGTGGTTGCGGGTAGGTTTCGGGTTGGGTTTGTTGAAGGGTTGGGTAGTAGACGTCATCAGGCGTGAAGGTCGAGGTGGGTTGAGAGAAGGTAGTGTTGAAGGTTTGATATTGGAAACGTGGGCTGGTCAGGTCAAAGTTGGGGGGTGGGTGGGACTGGGGTGAACTGCCTGGATGGTCAGAGGTAGGGTTGGGGCTGATATTGTTGGTTGTAGTGGTAGTTATAGTTTTGTTGAGGGAATGGATTGTTGGGTGTTTGTTGTTGGTAGGTATGTTGAGTTGAGGAGGATGCGTGCCCCCTAAATTGAGATGTGTAGGTTGGGGGCACATCCTGATGCACTGATGCGGCAGTCGGTTGTGTTGATGATGATGCTTGCGTGCGTGGGTCGGTCAAATATTGTTCTGGAGCAACATGCACGTAAGGAATGGCACGAAACCAAGCTAAATACTCTTGGCTTGGCTTGCGTTCACGTAATGCAGCTACCCCTACAAAATCACATGTCTTCTGTGTCTCCATTCTCTCACCTCCTCCTTGTTTAACTCTCGCCAATTAACTTTTTGAGCTTTTCGCATGGTCATTGCGTGGTGTTCCCTTAGACACCTTGGTGGGGGAGGGATTTGTTGGTCTAATCCAAACTGGATTCTTACCCTATCAGTTTGATGCATCTCAACGGTATAGAAACAAATAAGGTAAGTTGTTGCACTCCAGATTTGGCGATCTTCAAGACTGGGCACCGGATATTGAATGTACGGCCTCCATATAAACTGCCACACAAAAAAGAAAATTAAGAATACAATTAACGAGTAGAACCGACAACTGTTTTCACATGGTCTCAAACTTACATCTTGTTCTTGCATATGGTCTAATGCGTTTCGATATCCTTGAAGATGAAAACGAGGATTTACACGGTAATTCATTCCTCTTTGCGCCCATCTTGCATAAACAAAAAAAATATAATATTGTTAGGCATAGTTGAATAACAAATATATATATATATATATATATATATATATATATATATATATATATATATATATATATATATATATATATATATATATATATATATATATATATATATATATATATATATATATATATATATATATATATATATTATGTACACATAAATGGGTGTGTTAATACAAAAATACCTTTGTGCATATGGAAATGGCGGTTCCACTGTGGTAACAGGAGCGATCAATGGTATACGTGTGAATGCCCAAGAAGTCAGTAGAAGAACACAACCATTCATGCTCCTAACATCTTTGACTGCTGCCTTGCACATTTCTCTGTACAATTTTGCAAGGCATGCAGAACCCCAACTATAGGTACCACAAGCAACAAGATCCCCTACGAAAGGGATCCAAGAAGAATGCAATAGATTCTGACTTTTGTCAGGAAACAAAATTGTTGCGATTACAAGTAAAATATAAATTTTGGCCTCTAACAGAACTTCTTCTTGTGTGGGGACAGTTTTATTTTTTAAATTTTCGTATAAACTCTCTAACCAGGTGATCCTAACAGAACATTTAATTGTATCATCTTCTGTAGGTTCCACCCCCAAGTTTTCCCTATAAACAAAGTTCGTTACCTCGGTGGGACCGTTGATAGCTTTTCCATCAACTCGTAGACCAAGTAACATATACGTATCCTCAAGCGTTATTGTGCATTCACCTGTTGGTAAGTGAAAAATGTGTGTTTCGGGTCTCCACTTCTCCAATAGAGACACAACTAAACTTGAGTCGACTTTTAAACTACTTATTTTTTAGATATGTCCAAAACCTGATATTTCAAGATAAGCCGTTATTCTCTGACTCGCTTGAATAGAGGAATGTGAATGCACTCTAAACCTTGGGGCATTAATCTGCAACAATATTAAACCAAGAAAATGTAATCACGATTTTTGCTACGAAATAATATTTAACTACACAACAATAGACATTAATTTTGAATGCATTCTAATAGAGAAAAAACGTACACTAGCTTGAATATTTTCTTATGCTCCACGATGTTCATTGCCCATCCACAACAACACCATATGTTAATCCAGTGTAACGATTGCAAGAGGTAATAAAATTTGTGTGAAAATCTTTTGTGAAAATCTAGGAAGAAAGTAATGTGTGTAAAAAACTTGTGTAGAAAATTGAATTTATAGTAGTGTATGGTAAATTCGAAGTTAGAGATAATAAGATTAAATTCAAAAGTATGATAAGATTCTTGCATGGCAGAATAGTAGCTTGCATGCATGCAAAGTAGTAGATGTATTAGAGTTTCTATACCATGTCCGTTGCATGCCATACAAAGACCACAAGCTCGTCCTTTCATTGGACGAGCTCCTTAATGACAACACAAACTCGTCCATTCATAGGACGCACACACACACACACATTTTGGCACGAGCTCGTCCATTCTTTGGACGCACACACATTTGAAGTCACAAGCTCGTCCTTGGATTGGACGAGCTACTATTCACAATATTCTCACTTCTTCTCATTCTCGTCTTATATAGTTGTTGGTTCCAAAAAATATGTGTATCAAACTTATTTATACACATAAATAGTCTACAATTTATATTGACTAGCAAAAACATATATTGTACACATCAATATTTACTACCGAGAATTTCTACTTTATACTCCAAAATGTCCCAGAGAAACATAATTGTCACATGCCACTTTAACGGTGTTATTTCAGCAAGTAGCCCTGTTGGATTCTCGTTCAGCAACACAGATACATACGCCTTCAAAATTCATGTCAGTTCTGATTTTTTTCATTTTAAAGATAGAATGGAAAAAATTGGAACGAAGCGTTGAGGAAATAATTTATTGCCATCCAACACTTAATGAAGCCGACTGTGCCATTTTTTACATAATGACGCCGATCCGAAACGACAAAGATGTGAAGGCAATGTTTCGGTGCCACATGATGTTTGGTCAGTTAACTACAATTGAGTTGTATGTCCGACTACTAGACAATCCCGAAACATTTCCGACGCAAGAGACACAGTCACACTTGTACGGGATGAGCCAAACATCCGACGACGAACCAACACAAAACAACTTACCTTTCATACCAAATGAGGAGGTTGGAGAGGCAAATGATGACGATAGTCAGGAGGTCAGGATGCAAGATATTTTTGGTGACAGCGATGATGAAGACAATGAAGATATCGTTGTCGTGTCTATGCAACCGATCCGTGCGCAACCCATAAGTTTGTACAACCCGCCTGGGCACATGCAAAATATATGTTTCGAACACGACGATACAACCTCCGTGTTTGGAAATGCTATTCAAAACCATATAGGTGACGAAATAGAGATTGGGATGGAGTTCGAAAACAAGGAAGCTTGCATCCTTGCTCTGCAGCATTGGCACATTACACACAGTGTGGACTATTGGGTCTATCAGTCTGACAATGAACGATATGTCATTAAGTGTAAGAAACAAGACTACAGTTTCAAGTGCAGAGCTTCCTTGAGAAAAAGGAACTCGAAATGGGTGATCGGTAAGCTGTCTGGGTCTCACACATGCACTACGACGTCTATGGCACAAGACCATAGGAAGCTTAGTTCAGATATGGTTAGCCATAGTATCCGAGAACTTGTCAACAGCGACGCCTCACTTAAGGTAAGGGCGATCATTGCCCATATTCTTGAAAAATACGGGTACATTATATCTTACGGGAAAACATGGATCGCTAAGTGCAAGGCGGTAGAGTCACTTTATGGCAATTGGGAAACATCTTACAGCGACCTACCGCAGTGGATACTGGTAATGAAAACCTTCCTTCCAGGAACCGTTATAGATTTGAAAACCCTACCTGCGATATCAAGTGATGGTTCCCAAATCTCTGGAAAACGAATATTTCATCGTCTGTTTTGGGTATTTCGTCCGTGTATACGTGGCTTCGCCTTATGTAAGCTTATTGTGCAAGTAGACGGAACTTGGTTGTATGGAAAGTACAGAGGAACTCTATTGATGGCGGTGGCACAGGATGGCAACGCAAATATTTTCCCAATAGCATTCGCATTGGTCGAAGGTGAAACAAAGGAAGCATGGAGCTTTTTTCTGAGGAACCTGAGATTACACGTGACACCACAGCCTAATTTGTGTCTAATATCTGATAGACATGATTCGATAAAGAGTGCATACAACAATCCCGAAAACGGATGGTAACATCCACCATCTTCACATGTCTACTGCATAAGACACATTGCTCAGAACTTCATGCGCGAGATTAAGGACAAAGATCTACGTAGAAAACTTGTTAACATGGGTAACCAAATACATTTCACTTATCTAAAGTTTTGTACCACACTGTTATCATTTTTTTCACAGAAGTTCTGTTACAGGTTACGCATTGACGGAGGCTAGATTTAATTACTATCGCGGAGAAATTAGAAGAAAAAACATTGAGGCTTCAAATTGGATAGACAACATTCCTAGGGAGAAATGGGCTAGAGCATTTGACGGAGGGAAACGTTGGGGACACATGACATCTAATTTGGTAGAGGCCATAAACTCTGTACTAAAGGCAACCAGAAACCTTCCAATCACTGCATTGGTCCAGTCTACATACTATTGAATGGGTTCACTCTTTGGTAAACGAGGACACAAATGAACCAAAGTGATATCTTCAGGCAAAGTTTTCACAGATGGTTGTAACAAGGGAATGGCTGATGAGGTAGCCAAGGCGAACACACACAACGTCATGCAATTTGATCGCGAAAGATTATGTTTCATGGTAAAGGAAAAGATTAATTACAATGATGGTCGTCCAACGGGTACTTTCAGGGTTGACTTGCGGAATCGTTTCTGTGACTGCGGTAAATTTCAGGCATTTCACTTGCCTTGCTCCCACGTGATAGCGGCATGTGCTAGCATACGACAGGACTACACAATTCACATTCCAGAGGTCTTCACAGTTCTTAACGTATTCAAGGTCTACAAGGAAAGCTTCTTGGGACTACCGCACGAGGAGAACTGGCCAAAATATAAAGGTTTTACTCTGTGCCACGACGATTCCATGAGAAGAAATAAAAAGGGGCGTCCAAAAAGTAGTAGAATTAGAATTGAGATGGACGACGGAGAAAAAGAGAAGAGAAGGTGTGGGATTTGCAGAGAAATAGGTCATATGCGTAGAAAATGTCCCAATGTTGCCGGTCCGTCAAACCGACCGAATAGATAATTTTATTGTACTACTTTTGTATGTGATCCATCAATTATTTTTAATTCAAAACAACTTTCAAATTACAATAATTACGTGACTCCACAAACTCAAAAAAAAACTCGTGAAGCTAACATAAACTCTAACCAACAACAGCGACCAACACAAGTGGATCTGTGACTCCACAAACTGAAAAATAAAACTCATGAAGCTAACATAAACTCTAACCAACAACAGCAACCAACACAAGTGGATCTGTGACTCCTCTGTTGACTTCGCCACTATATGCTGAAAACATGTAATGGACATCTTCATCATTTTCTATACGATCTAGGTAGTACATGTACGTCCCCTCCGGGCTAGCATCAGTAAGCGTTATATATGGACAACGATACTCCAATTTTCTCACCGTCACGCGACGGCCGCCCAGCTGCCGAAACCCGATGTTAATGGCTGCAACCACGGTTCTGAAATTCCACAGCGGATCTAGGTAAACACTAATTTTTTTCTCCGGCCCATAGAAAACAAGAGCTTGCACAAACATTTTTTTAAATTGGATAAGTTGATACGAATGATATTTGCTGATGCGCAATACGCTTATTTAAAAAAAAAATTCAGTTTGAGCTCGGTCATTCAATGACCGAGACACTTGACAAAAAATTACGTCAACATTTTAATATTTAAAATTAACATTGTTAATAACATTTTAATAATTAAAATTAACTATTTAACATTTTAATAAATCATTAAATAATTAAAATATGAAATTATTATTAAAATTACACTTTTAATAGTTAAAATTAAAATTATTAATAACATTATCATTAATTATATAATTTATTAACTATTATTTATATAGTTTTCATATTTATCATAATCCTTAAATAATTAAAATTATATTAATAAAATTAAAATTATAAAATTAGATTATAAAATAATTAAAATAAAATAAAAATTTAAAAAACGAAAAACAAACACACGCTCGCCCTATCAATGGACGAGCTCATGAGACCCATTTCAGAAACCACATGCTCGCCCAATGAAAGGACGAACATGCACCCCCCCATTTTTCTTCCTTCACTAGCTCGCCCATTGATTGGGCGAACTTCTTAAAATCTGGGGCACTTTGGTAAATATTTTTCAATGTGGGGCATTATGGAATTTATTATTTCAATATGGGGCAGAACAGTGAAAAACCCCACTTTTTGGCTCCAGATATAACACGGAAAAAACCTCCTCCAGGAGAGGGAGGTACGCACAAAAAAACCAGTTTGGGGCTCTCACAACAAAAAACTATATCTCTTGACGATTAATCCCCTCCCAGGATTCTTTTCCTTCAATTTTAGAACTCAACCTCATAACTCTATTTTCCACCAACCAAAGCTTCATCATCAACCTAATATCACACAACATCAAGCTTCTGCTCCCAGTATCAAATCAATAACAACAACAATACCTTTTCATTTTTACCACCA